GCAACCGAGGGTGTACATGAGAGTGTCAAGATCATGCATCCCGGTTTTGTCCACCTAAGCTACATAATTGATGTATTTATTCTACGCAACAAAGAGTAGCACAGGATGATGACATATTGATCAAAGGCTCCCCTCCTTTATCATTGACTGCATCACATGATCATAGACAGAGGCTCTAAATCACCAAAATAATTGGATTTCTTTGTTCACGACATGTTTGGGGATCATGAAGGAGACGTGATTCTTTACACGATGTCAAAGACAGCAAGAGGCCATGCCTTCAAGCTCCTCATTTTGGCCTGAGGAAGTGGAAGGATCCATAGGAAATGCCCACTCATTTATTCGAGTTAGGTTGATGTGGATTGGTGCAAGTCACACAAGTGTTGATGAATCTATTCCCTCGTCAACTTTAGCTTTCTTTTCCTTGTGGCTCTTCTAATTCAATTCACGTTCCAAAATATTTTTCTCTTTAATCATGATTTCAATCCAATCCGTCAATTTTTCTCTACAGGGAGTAAATCATATGATGAAATTTCAAACTCTCAACATGAAATATTTTCGGTATAAGAAAATATATAATAATAATTTAAATATTTAATCTAAGGATAAATAAAATCAGATAATTAATTAATACAGCTAAATTCGATGCAGACATTAAAAATGGCAGATATTTCCCCATTTTGTAGAGGGTATTAAGGTCAATTAGGGTGTAGATCGTGAATATAATAAAACTCTACAAAGCAAGAGGAAGCCGTGCGATCTAACCCACCTTCGCCTACAAAGCGTAGAGGGTCGACCTTCGCCTCTTATTCCCGAGAGCTCTCTCTCTCTCTCTCTCTCTCTCTCTCTCCCTCTCTTCCGCGCTTGAAGGCGATCAGCTGTGCCATTGCCATCTCTTCCTTCTGCCTTTTGTTTCATTCGGTAAGGTATGCTGCTTTTGGATCTCTGTTTGTGATCTATAACCCCTGTTTTGTTAGCATCTTCTTCTTTCTTCTGAGAAATGTGAGTTGAGAAGATGAATCGGGGAGCGATCTAATCGGGCAATGTTGTGCTGAATGCATCGGTCTAAGAATCCTGTAGTCTGTAGTTTGCCATGGAATTAAGCCGTTCAGTTATCAGGGAATCATGATTTGTTCTTCGTCTTCTTCTTCGGTGTCATTTAGACACAATGGGCCACTTATTGATGTTATCGTGAAGTGACAGTAGTTGCAAGGTCAAAACCTTTGTCCTCTTTCTCCGGTTTCCTTACCGATGTGTTTGCTTCGACAATGGCTTCGACAACCTTTTCTCTTCTCTGTTCCCTGTTCGACGCGCGTCATGCTAGGTAAAAGATCCCAACTTTCTTGCTTCTCTCCTTCCAGGTCTGCATCTTTCTCGTCGGAGCGATGAGAGCAGAGCACACTCGGATGCCCAAGGTGGGATTTTTCTCCCAGAATTGAACTCCTTTCGCAGTGTAGTTTTCCTTATCTGCTATCAAAAACTTATTACGGAGATTGTTCGCAGTCTTCTTCTTGGACAAAGACCGTTGTCTGGAAATGGTTCCACTCGAAGAACGCAGAGTCCTCCTCTGACCGCAACAGTAAGCCCAGTCCTCCCACTGCCACTTCCTGTCCCTCGATCTCTTCGCTTTTGTCTTTCTTCCTCGCTTTATGATTGAAAGCTTGCTTCTTTCTCTCCCCCGCCCCCGTCCCGTTTTTTTCTTTTTGGATAAAAAGCAGATAAACTTGGAGAGCAACAAAGGAGGAAGAGCTGTTCGGACAAGGACAGCAGCGTGCTCGGAATAAGGGACTTGTCAGGTACTTTGCTACCGCCTCCTTCGTTGCCCTCTCTTAAACGTACTCAGCGCATTTAGTTGACGATGATGACACAACATGAAAAGCTTCGTTCTTTTCCTCTGTTTCTGTGAGTAAATAGGTGGGTGGGTGGTGGAGCGCTCCGGCAATCTCGAACCTCCCCCTTCGCAAGACAAGTCACTAGCCGGCTCTTCTCTGCCCACCGAGAACCTCCGGTAGCGAGCATTAATCCATCCCATGGAGAATATTTTGGAGTTGATACCACCTCATTTTTCTTACTCAGCAGTGCACTAATCGTCCTCTATAATTGTTGCGCATATGCTGCTGATGATGGTGGGAGAAGCGTGTTCGTGGGGACATGGAACGTGGGAGGGCGACCACCCCACGGTGGGCTCAACCTAAGAGATTGGCTCATGAGCACGCCGTCTTCCCCTGCAGACATCTATGTCCTCGGGTACTGCATCGAACCTATCACATAAAAGATCACTTTCTGCCAATTATCATGATGATTCCCTCTCTACCTCTGCTTCTCCTTTCCCTGAAAGATAAACATTTAGCAACTTAATCTACTTCTTTCGGCTGTTCTGGAATTGGAGTTTGCTGTGACTCGTGAAGAACATGATGACATGAATGGAGCCAAGTCACACGCACCGAGAAGGATGATGTGAAGGAGCAAGAAGAGTCCTTTCCACTCCTTCCCTGGAAGCAGTGAGAGGACAAGAAGGTGCAGGGAATCAACGAGGTCTGGCACTCGCAGTAAAGGCGGATGGGAGCGAGAGTTGTTGACTTCGTGTACACTACCATTCCTGTGCAAGTGTCTGACCGATCAGCAGGAGACATCCTCACCATTCGACTGAGCAAATTACTGTGTCTAAAATGTGTCTGGCCCTGTGCCGCAGGTTTCAGGAGATCGTCCCCTTGAACGCCGGGAATGTGCTGGGCCCCGAGGACAAGGGCCCCGCGGATAGGTGGCTCTCCCTCATTGGTCAGACGCTGGACTCCCACCACAGGGCCGCCCCTGGCGTTCCCAGTCGTTGCACCAACGCCGCGGAGAAGCGGAGGGTCAGCTTCCCAGACCTCTCGTCCGTTGAGCTTGGGCTGGAGGAGGCCGAAGACGGCTGCGAGGAGTACCACCTCGTGGCAAGCAAGCAGATGGTGGGGATCTTCCTCTGTGTTTGGGTGCGAACCAGGCTGGTGCAGTGCATCACCAGCCTCGAGGTCTCCTGCGTCGGCAGGGGCATCATGGGCTGCATGGGAAACAAGGTTCGTAGGATCAGCTCAGTTACTGTTCTTGCTATTTTTTGCGCGCCATGGAAACATGGATGATGTGATCGGCCGCAGGGATCGACCTCCGTCAGCATGACACTTCACCGGACCACGTTCTGCTTCGTTTGCACGCATCTGGCTTCCGGGGAGAGAGATGAAGACGAGGGCCGAAGGAACTCCGATGTGATGGAGATCATGAAGAGGACGAGGTTCCCACAAGCACGCAGGAGGATTCCAGGAGCAGCATCACCTCGTTGTCCACGGACAATACTGGAGCATGAGTAAGCCTCAATAAAAGGAAGCTTTGGTCATGCGTATATGATTGTATCTAATCCTTCATCGATGGTTTTTATCTTTGCAGTAAGATCATATGGCTTGGAGATCTCAATTATCGACTGGCTTCCACCGGCAACGACACAAACGAGCTGTTAAAGAAGCAAGACTGGCAAGGCTTATTAGAGAAGGACCAGGTGAGTCGAAGACACGCAGCACGATCCAGTTTAAGGCTACCATCACTGATCGATTAGGTTATTTGTATGAATGGCTGCAGCTTCGTATACAACACAAAGCAGGGGGAGTGTTTGCTGGGTGGGAGGAAGGGAGGATATGTTTCCCTCCGACTTACAAATACATTTCTAATTCCGACATTTATGATATGAATTGGGCAAATTCAAGAGACAAAAGACGCACCCCAGCTTGGTAAATGCCTCCTCTAATTGTCTCCTTTCATCTTGTTTGAAGCTTCCTACTATATTGATAGATAGATGTCAGAGTCGTGTCATGTGACTGACTGACTCTCCAATTGGACAGGCGGCTGAGGTTGTTTGACTTTGACCTGCCCAATTTGCATGGCATGTTGGGATTAAGAATCAAAGTCTGTCATAGCTTTAATCTATGGCTACTACTGCCGCACATTGGCCGACCTCCTTTATTCTAGTCCAAGCACCCACGTTCGTGCAACCTAAGCCTTGCTTAGGCTCTTTGACATTTTTGCCCCTTCTTCCCTTGTGTTATAGCAGATCTGCCGACACCATGGAGTTAACCATGGTCTATGTTTTGATCGCTGACATTGGTTGATCAAGGACTAAGATTTGCATGTTCAAATCTTATTCTATGCTACGTTTTTATTATCATATGTATGCATATATCTGATGCTGTGCATGGGATGTGCTGCGACAGGTGCGACCGTATACTATGGCGAGGGAAGGGGATGAAGCAAATGTGGTACGTGAGAGGAGAGTCGCGGTTCTCCGACCACCGGCCGGTAAGCTCCCTCTTCGCTGTACAGTTGGACGACGGACACCACGGTGTGGCAGCCGACCAGCACAGAACAGCGGGAGCAGATTCAAGAGGCAGCAGCTCGCCGTGCTCATCATCATGGGGGAAGGTGCAGGCCGAGGAGATGTTCCTCGTAGGGAGAACACAGCTGCTTGGAAGCCAGCAGATTCTGAAACCTTTTGAGGGAACCCATTGTTTAATCCCGGAGCTCAGATCCTAATTTGCCATCCAAAGAATAGGTAGAAGCACGAGGGAGAAGAAGAGGCCAACTGTGTTCACAAAAGGTCTCATTGATTCAATTCACCGAACACCTGGTAGGCGCGTGCAGAGAGGAGAGGCCAAAGGCGGCCTTCGCACGTCTAACCACGTGCTCGAGACCGGGGAGAAGGCAACCTTGTCAACTGACGGAATCTAATAATTGTGGCCGCCGCATCGAGGAGAAACGGTGCCATGCTTTTGACATTAAGATAGAGAATAAAAAGTGCGATGATTTAGAAGCCAACAGGAATTTGCATACCGCGGCAAACCTAACGGATGGCAGCTTTTGAGCTCCCTCTTTCTGTCATCATCATCCTCTGCTCTCCTTCTGCTACCAGTTTTGGGCGCTGTGCAATAGCGTGCAAGAAAGTAGGGAACAAAGAGGAACGCCTGCTCGGTTCGATGTTGTCGACGAAAAGAAAATACTGTACATACGTCAATTGATCGAACATGTGAAGCTCACATGGTCTTCACGGTATGAATGTGGTGGTGGACTGTCACCAACATGTTATACACTGGAAATACTACAAGTAAAAAATCACCGCTTGCTGCCATTTGCAAATGACAACAGAGGCACCAAAACAATTAATGATGAACTGGTTCATGAGCTTAAACACCTTGCCTGAAACATGTCACAGAGTTCAGGCAACAACTCATTCCATCTTATTCCTTTAGAATCGGAAACAGAAGAAGAGTTTTAATGAGGATGACTGATCGGACCAGGCTGCATTGCTTTCTGTACAAGCTCAGTCTGCTCCTGGACGTGAACCGAGTAGAAACCGGTAGCTGTTGCGGCAGAAGGTGCCCTTCCAACATATTTGATATCTTCAAAAGTCCCCCGACCTAGCATCCTCATCGTGGTATATAGGCGAGGAGTGATGTAACCGTATGCACCCATGTTCATCGGCTCTTCCTGACACCAGACGATCTCTGCATCTGCGGAAACACATATGACGAGATTGAAGTTAGTCACAAAGATCATCAGCAAATTAATACAAAAAGAAATGTAATGCAGAAGCTGAGGAGTGATGCAAAATAGTGTACCAGCAAAGTTGTAAGTAAACACACAACATGTGCAGGGTAGGAAGCAGAAAGCAACATGAATAGATGCAGCAGCTCTACATACCCATAAGGGACAAGTTGTAATTTAAAAGACACCATGGGATGATAAGAAGTTTGGCCTTTAATCCTAAAATTTTGTTATTCATGCCGCTGCAAAGCTTTAGTTGAACTTTTACTGAGCTTTGTGGGCAAACTTGTCAAGTCAGAGCTGAAACTGATGCTGAACAACATGACTTGCAACAAGCATGAAAGGGCAGCTAAGAACACAAGATTCAGCCAAGATTCTTCCCTAGCTAATCTGATCGCCAGCAGCCCAAATTCATCCTGATACAATTGAATAGGATGAATCCCCAGCAATGGCAGGGAAGCCCAATGCGATATGCTATAAAATGAGTCAAAATCCAGTAACATTCCTGGCCCAGCTGACAGTTATGTATATGACAATAAACAAATTTAACAAAACACTTGAAAGGATGTTCCACTGAAGATGGGAACTAAAAGCAGTTAGCATAAAGAAAATGCATCTGTGGTGATCAAACAGAGGAGCCCATACTTGGATATCGCTTAAGCTCTCTTTGAATTAGGTCATAAGGGAATGGGCAGAGCTGTTCGACTCTACAAATTGCAACATCCTTACGGTCCAACTTCTTACGTTCTTCGTGAAGTTCATAATAGACCTGCAAAGACCATATTTCAACAGAAATGAACTAGTTGGATCATTTAAAATGGTGAAAAAAAAAAAACAAGCAAGCTCAAATGTTCTAGAGAAGAAAGATGTGAAATCATATAACTTGCCTTTCCAGAGCACAAGATGAGACGATTAATACCCTCCTCAACTTCTTTGTGATTATTCTGGTCCTTTACAAGGCGCTTGAAGCGTGTTCCTTGCATATCAAATCCTGGATGGCCCTCCAGATCATCAAACTCGGATAGATTTGATTTGCAGTCCTTGTGACGAAGCAGGTTCTTGGGAGACATTACAATCAGAGGTTTCCGGAACTCCCTATGGATCTAGATGGAAAATTAAACAATGACTTCAGCTTAATTCCACGACAAAAATATAAAGTATATTTCAGAACACTACCTGACGTCGCAGAACATGGAAATAATTAGCAGGAGTTGTCACATTGACAATTTGCCAATTACATTCCTGGATTTGTTTCCGTAGAGTTGGTTCCATCTCAGGAATTACATACGGGTTATCGTCGCTCATCTGTTTAACACAGTAAAACATCAATTTTCAGATAAACACTATAACTATAATACTTCAAGAAGCTTAAAAAAGTGTAAGAAATTATAACATTAATTGGTAATAATATTCTTATATAGCTCAAATGAAATTGATGCAATGAAACTACATCATTGAAACCATTAATCACCTTCTCAAGCCATAGAAAATAATGGCCAAAGAAAATGTAGAGCTCTACAAGTCAAGATAGACATCCAATTGCAACCAAATACACAACAGTATCTCTTATGATGTACCTGAACTTTAATTACAATATCAGTGAGAAAAGCAATGAACTAGTGGATGAACAATGACCTTGGGAAAGGGGGAAAGAAAAATAAACATCTACACATAACAAAACCAGCGCTACCTGATCTAGAAGTAGATACAAGCATGGGGATCAAATGCAAATATAGAAGCCGATCTGCTTAACGATAAAAATGACAGATGACTTAAATGTGATAAACAACACATGATAGTTATAATAAATTACCTGGAGGAAACGCTCCAGTCGTGCACTTGAATGTTCTGGGCCTTGACCATCATAACCATGGGGAAGTAGAAGAACAAGCCCAGTTTGGCGAAGCCACTTGGATTCTCCGCTGCTCAAAAACTGATCAAACATTACCTGAGCACCATTCGAGAAGTCACCAAACTGAGCTTCCCAAAGTACCAATGAATTAGGATTTTCCATTGAGTATCCTGATTCAAATCCAAGGACAGCAAACTCTGAAAGCGAACTGCAATTTGAATGGAGTGTAAAAAGATCATACTCATTACAACATAACACAAATGGTGGAGGCTAATTCATGTATACAGTAACTCAAGTGCATACCATGCCAGTTCTTGGACAACTACGAATTGGTCCGACTTTTAAGACAACAACCTTAAGTTATCCCAACAAAAGCATGTAAGCAAACAAAGATGAAATACATATGTAAAGTTTTTCAAGACACTATCTTCAAAGAAAATTAGATGCCAAAATAGGAAAAAATTCCACTGTTATCATGTGTTTTTGATAAATAGGACAAATGAAAGGCCCATGAGAACCTACAATGCTTCGAGTACCAACAGAAGCAGTAATAGGTATTCATCCTTTTGTGTTTTTGCAAGTCAGCTCCATTTCCAGGAACAAGCAATTAACACACCTCAGTGAAACTATTGCTTGAAAAAAATATACATTTCCAAGATAATCCAATTCTTTGGAAACCAACGGTGACACTTTCTAGGTGTAGAAAAGCATGCAAGTAAATGGTAAGGAAAAGAAAAGGTATTCAATGATTAGGAAAATCAATGGCATCCCACAATAAAGAATGAATATAATCAATAGCATCCACGGAGATTTAATTTTAATTGGCACGAAGAACAAAGTCATACCGGATCCAACCATCAGATGGCCACTAAAGGCTTTACCAGCATTTGTGAAAAATTTATACATCTGAACCATTTAGCAAAAGAATTGGTCAATCTATACGGTATACAATTAATTGAGTGATCAATCTACCGTTAAAAAGCAAACAAACTGGATAGAAATAGCACAGATGAAAATGATAATGTTTACATGGTATTGATATAGATATGTGTACTAAAACTCCACTGATACAACATTTATGTTAAGAAGTCCAGACAAGTAAGAGCATTATACAGAACCAAATCATAACAACTCAATTATATGGCATTTATTGATCACGAATTATTTGACTTCCAAGAACATAAATCATATAATTAGGTGAGATTTATAAGTTAAGTTATCTGTGTCCATTAGTATATGAACCTACATACTAAAAAAGCAGAAAACTCATAGTACAGACCTGTTGCTGACAGTGAACATCTCCTCATCCTGGTTCATCAGAACATGATCCAGAGGGCAGTACTTCTCTCCCGTTTGTTGGTCATGAATAACTGAATGGCGATGACTAAATGTACCTCTTTCGACATCTTGGCCACTCAACCTAACATGGTTTCCTTCTATGATAAGAGTAGCAAAAGCTAGCGCCTCTCCCATTGCCCAGTCAATGCCTTCCCCAGTTTCAATCATCTGACCACGTTGCTCGAAGATCTTTTTGACTGCTCTATGAGGCTTGAAATTTTCAGGAAGAGATGTAATGGCTTGTCCAACGCGCTTTAAAATCTCAGGTCTTACTCTGCAGAATGATTCAGAAGTTTACATTATGCATGACAAGAAGACAACAGATTACAGGAAATTTAAAATCAACAAACAAGCAACTGTACCCAGTGTTTCGAATACGTGATATCTGTTCTGGAGATTTAAATCCTGTCCAAAATGCTGAAAGCCAGTCCCTCCTTTTTGGAACATAGTCTTTGCTATTAATGAACTCCTCGTTCAGAATGGAAGTGACTTTGCTGCGGATCCTATCAATCTCTTCTTTAGAGATCTCTCCTGACTCTAAAAGCTTGTTTTGGTAAATTTCAAGTGCACTTGGATGATTCCGAATGACCTGCACGGTAGAAGAAATAATTATTTGCTAATTTGGTCGAAAAATCTTTTTAAAAAACCTAAAAAGAGTAGAAATAGCATGTGCATGCAAACGAATAGAACTCGCAGTCACTGTTCTCATGACTTCACAGCTTAGCTATTTATGATTCATTACCATGCAAACAAAAAAAAGTTTAGCCATGCAAATAATGAGTGCAAGATAAAGGAAACTGCAAAGTTGCGTTAATGGAAAATAAACAATGTGTCAGAGAATATTAACAAATGCAAGCCAGTGTGCCAGAAACTGTTACACTGAAGAATTATTCACCTGATACATCTTTGGTTGTGTGAAAGAGGGTTCATCTATCTCATTGTGGCCAAATCGTCTGTAACAAACAACATCAACCACCACATCAGAATGGAATGTCAGTCGCCACTCTGCTGCAAGCTCACAAACATGTACAACTGCTTCCATATCATCTCCATTGACATGAAAGATTGGTGCATTCAATGCTTTAGCAACGTCTGTGCAGTATTGAGAAGACCTTCCTGACCTAGGATCAGTGGTGAAAGCGACCTGGTTGTTAATCACTATGTGAATTGTTCCACCAGTAGTGTAGTTGGGAAGAGCACTGAGATGTAGAGTCTCATAAACCACACCCTGCCCCGCAAAGCTTCCATCTCCATGGATCAATACACCCATATTTTTCATCCTCTTGGTATCATTGGAGTGGTATTGTTTTGCTCTTGTCTTCCCAATCACAACAGGATCAACAGCCTCCAAATGACTTGGATTGGCAACTAAAGACAAGTGAATCCTTTTCCCACCCCTGGTCGGCCTATCATATGAAGTACCCAAATGGTATTTCACATCACCAGTTCCTGTATACAACCCAACTTCTCCATCCACAGGCTTTGTGCCACCACTAAATTCACTAAAAATCTGACGCAACGGTTTCCTGACAACATTACCCAAGACATTCAACCTTCCTCTATGAGGCATTCCAATAACAATGCTCTCCACCCCTAGGTCAGCCGCTCTATCGAACATCTCCTTCATTCCTGGAATCAGGGTTTCTCCACCTTCGAGGCCAAACCTCTTTGCAGCTGTCCACTTGGTAGCTAAGAAATTCTCAAACTCAGTGCTCCAAATGAGCCTGTCAAGAATGACTTCACGACGATCCCGACTGTATTCCCTTGGTTTCACCGTCTCGATCTTGTCCCTTATCCAATTGCACTTATCCCTATCAGGGATGTGCATGTACTCATACCCCACATTCCCACAATATGCCTGCTCCAGTCTGTTCAATATCTCGCGGAGGGTCTGCACAGGGCGGTTCTCCGACAAGAAGCCGGCCATCCTCCACACACCGAGGAAGAATTCCCTATCCAAGTCTGCGTCCGTGAATCCATAGAGGCCCAAATCCAAATCCTCCGGAATCTCCCGCTCCTCTAGACCCAAAGGATCCAACTTGGCCTTCATGTGGCCGTTGACCTGGTAGGCCCTGACAAGCAGCAGCAATCTCATGCTCTCCTGGATGGTCTGGCCGGAGATTCCTGGCGAGGTGGCAGCCTGTCCAACAAAGTTCCTAAAGAAGTTGTCCCAGGATTCATCGACGCTGTTGGGGTCGGCTTCCCAGGCCCTCTGCAGCTCCTCCAAGTAGACACTGCTGGTGCCGTCGAGGAAGCTGTCGGACAGACGGGAGAGGGGCACGGGGCGGGGGATCGGCGCGGCTGACTCGGCCTTCCGTCTGAGGGCAGTGGAGTGGAAGGTCCGGGCCGGCGGATGGGGCAGGGCGCGCAGTCTGGCGGTGTGATGCGGCGCTTGAGCCAGGTTTCTCCTAATTGCCGATGTGGCCACACCTGACACGGCCCTAAGCCACGCCATGGCGATGGATCTCGACTAAGAGGAGTCCACCGTGAGTAAAAACTTCAGCTTTCTTGCAGAACACCTGCCTGTCTCAGAGAACAAAGAGATCAAGACTAAAACATACACACCTCAACCTGAAAATACAATGAGAATTCATGGAATAAACACATAGAAAAAGAAGAAATGCTACCAACCTGCAAGAGATCTTGGAAAAAATAATATTCTAACGAATCAAAGCGAGAAAAAAGAAGGAACGATCGAGAATTGGATGAGAAAGGATGAGACGGTACCTGACGAAAAGGGGTAGGGGAAGGCGAGACCCCGGGCGCAGGTTCGTGTTCGGAGGGCGGAAGGCCCGGCACCAACTTTGCGTCGTACGCTGCTCATCGAGCACGGGAGCTTCTCTTATTCCGCTGGGTCTCTAAACGACACCCCTTTTTCGATACATGCACTCTCTCCCCATCATCTTATAATGTCGCCTTTGAGTGAACAAATTGGGCGTCCGAGGGAATAAAGGGGGGTGTCAGTATCAGAAGGTGGAATACGCACCTTATTAAGCGACTTGTACGCGTGAACCGGTGACGCCATATACCAAGCGCCGGTCCTCTATACAAGTGTACAGGACCGGAGTTGTTGAGCCTTCTTCCCTGTCTCGGGCGCCACAGGATCGAGGTTTCGGCACCATTCATTCGTTTTAGACCGTAGATAAATAGGAGCCCCACCTGACCAACGGTGGTGATCTTAATGTACGCTACCATGATTCAGATTCGTACAGAGTTGTTTTGACAAAGGTTTATGGGATTTTGTATATCATCGGTGTCACTTTCAAGAGTAGATAGTATTAAGGACTCAGCATAGCTTATTTTGTATTTTATACATTTAATCATACTATATTACCGGATAGTTGTGCTTCTTAAATGTATTGCTTATTTATCGAAATATATTCACATTAACTCCATCATCCACGTGGAGAAAAGGTCAAACGGAGATGGTTAGAGAGGACTATCTTTTCATAAAATATTTTATATTCTATCCGATTAGGTATAAAAATTCATTTTTAGCGCAATCGTAAGGGGATCACTTTTAACACTTATGATCATACGTATTTATCTCAGGTTACTAACTTAGGTATTGAAGAAATCAGGTCAAGAAACCTCTTCCGACCTCAATCTTCATATAAGTAGCACTTAGGAGCTCGATGTTTTTATCTTGAAGGTATCTTGAACAACCCTACGCATATGAGTCTAGATCATATCGAGTTAACCAGGACGTATATGACATCTTCCCATAACACTTTTGACATTAGAATGAGGGCTCAATGTTGTAGGAATGCCCGCCCTTAACCTTCTCAATGAATGCTCAAACGAATAGGCATTGCCCATGACCTACAATATTGTTACTAAGGGGGGCAGTAGTCACCCTTTCTACACATCAGTACATCCACCTCGGAACAGATACTAACACAATACTAACACTTATTCAACGACCCAAATTTCTCACCCCTAGGGATCACCCTAAGCCACCTACTCGTCCTTGCTAATGTGTTCTTAAACCCCACTCAGCAAGTGTAAATGCTAACGAGAATGATACAAGCTATTGTTTTGCTTTTGCCCCAGTTAGCCTAATAAGTGATACCACCAGCTTAGTTGTAATACTTAGCTCCATTAATAACGGCACCTGTTGAGGTTTCCTAACTCGATGTGATGCCAATATCCTAGGAGCGCTTTAGACCTATCCAACTATCAGTCGATGGGGCATTTCAACCAAAAATTATGGAATTCAACGGATCACACCACCCTAAGTATGCTCGACCTAATTCCGAGGCTCAATCAACGAATTTGATGAAGGACTCCCTATGGATCCAACCATGGTAAATGAATTAATATTTAGATAAGATACGACCAAAGCTCTAGCAATCAAAAGGGGAAACTCTACTCAATCCCACCTCGAGTCAATTATTGTTCACCCAAAAAACCTAAGATGAACCAATTCCAATGAACTTTTGTCTCACATCATTGGAGATATTCGATGGTAATCTCAATCCAATAAAGCACATTGCAGTTTTTCATACCCGGATGTCATTATACGATACTTTGGATATCCTAATATGGCGCACCCTCCCAACCATGTTAAGAGGCATAAGATGAGAATGATATGTTTGTCTGAAGGCACTTTCCATCTGCTCTTGCACCCAACTATTTAGAGAATTCAAACTTTACTTTCTTAAGAATGTACATCCTCAACTTTTAACGATAGCACTCCTTGAACTTAGGTAAAGAGAGGAAGAAACGCTTGTAAACTTCGTCACTCAATTTACAAATGAGATCTAAGACGTAGTATATGCTCATTCATCACTCTGATACAAACTTTTATGATGAGACTCAAGCTATGTTGTCTCTTTTAGTTATTGATAGAAAAACCACCAATAACATATCATATGCGTAGCACAAAACTATAGTATGATCTGATGTTTATAGAAAATCGAAATGCAAATTTTCTATCAATATAGTATGATCTGATAGAAAAACATCAGATCATACTATATATATGTCCTGATCCCACCAAGAATACAACAAAGAAAGCAGCATATGATATGTTGACTTTTGCACGTAATACGATCACCTGAGCCTTCGATGTTGCTATAGTATACTCACTGTTGATGATGGACCAAACAAACGGCATGCTTCCCATCACGGCACCGTAGCAAAAGTTGGCATTAGATAAAATGAAGACCAATACAAGGCACTACAAAATTTGCCGGTGTTAAATCTTTGATAAGACGATCAATACAATGAGTTACACAGATCATTCGTGACAAGAACAACATTTTTAACAAAATTGCAATACAGAGAGAACACATTTACAAATTAGGTTCAGAAAATGTAAATAAGAAAAGGAAAAAGACAAGTCTGATGAAGTTAATGCAGTTTGGAGAAGTATCCATCCTTGCTTTTAAGTTTGATATTATACAAGAAAACAACCTAGTTATTAAACAACTGCATGCGAGGAGATCAAAGAAAATTCGTTACTTGCCGAGGATGCCCAGATTAAAAAAAAACTGCATAAACCCCGGTACAACATAGTCGCCAAAATTTGATGACACAAGAAATTTGACTCTCATGGGGCAAACTCATCTCCAAATGCCGGTGACACATGGTCTGCAACTATACAAATTGCAAGCTGCACCGGTTATAATGTAGTACATCCAGTTTCTGCAAAAACGAACTGCCCGATCTGAACAAGTAGATACCCCGAACATTGAAGAAGACTTGCCATTTCTTATGCGACTCAGCAAAGGAAAATAATTAAAATCAATCAATAAATAAAGCGGACTCAGGTTCTGTACATCACATGCTTCTAATTTTCTCTTACAAAATGCTAATTTACAACTTCTGATCCAAAACCTGCAAAAAAAAAAAAAAAAAAACCCATTACTAATAAGAGGAAGAGAAACTACAATTTCATGCATAAAAGAGAAGCACATAGATATGTGGCAAGATGAGGCCCTCCAACTAAATGTAGAAAATGCTTGAATAGACAACAAAACCAATACCATTTAATGGCACAGATTGGACATATATACAACAATATGGCATCTAAAGTTTTGAAATGACAAAGAACAGGAGATGGCATCAAACAAGCAGTATCAGAGCCAAAAGTATCAAGGATCGTTCCTAAGCAATTTTTATCTAACACTGAGTATTTGGCAAAAGGCACTCGATATTCTTTCAATCAATCATCAATTTCCAAGTCCTAATAATTCAAAAATGTTTTACTTCTAAGCAAATTTAAATCACCTCTTACTCAAGTAGCGGAAAATTTGCTCTGGATGTTCTGCCTGTTGCATTTTCTAGCAACACTGCAAGAATATTGGGTACGAAGTCCGGTTCGACCTTCATTCTGAAACCAAAAAATCGAACTTCATGATCTTATAACAGGGATCCAAGATCATTTGATAGTTGCAGTATCCCACGCATTTGAAGGTAAGGGTTCTCCAGAAGCTTTTCATTGTTGCTCTATCAAGTAAAAACACAATAACATGTTAGTTGATGTGTTTATTCACTAAACTATAATGGAAATATGCATGCCTTCTTTTTAGCATTGTGTTCAAGCCTGCAACTAGAGTAAGGTCTACCTGTTGTGCCTTAAAAATAAGACTCTGAAGCATGCGCTGATAAGTTTCAGGTTCTTCTGTCATCATTCTCTGTAATGCAATTTTGAATTGTAAAAATTGTGAAAAAGAACCAATGGTGCAAAACTAATAAATCACAAATTTATGACATACCTTTAAGAGAAAGGAAGCAGAATAATATGCTACTCTTGAGTCCATGTCATCTAAGAGTCCCCTGTAAATGTTGTCAAGTCATATCATTGAACCTACAAAAGAATCATCCTACAGAGCAATGACTATGGGCAGGCAATAGCTTACCTAAAAAACTCTTTTCCTTCGATCTCCAAAAGTGCATCTGGATCAGCAGTACATTTCCCAATTAAAAGGAGGAGAAGGGCAGCTCTTATATCTGACGTAGCACCTGGTATATTCCCTCTTCCTTTACTGCCAACAGCAACACCTAATGCAATATCATCCGTTGCAGCACCAGCAAGTTGTATTAATGGCCAATAGAACAGGGATGCTGGAACACGAGCTACTAGCTGCATCGGAGCAATCGCATGTCCTCGAAGAAGCATTGCTGCCATTGATGCTGTTTCGCATACTGTGCTGGCTTGATCAGCACCAGAGAGATTATCGACAGCCTGTGACAACTCATCTCGCCGCTGATCAGAATTAGATCCTTCTAATGAAATATGAGTTACTAAGTTGCCTTCACGACTTTTAGTTGTGCGACAAGAGAGATGACTGAGGTCATTGAAATCACCAAGAGGTACTTGAATGGCAGACTGAAGCCTCAAACATATTTGAGCAAATAACATATCGCACATCTGCAGATGTTCACAATCAAGTAGAAATAAGGACAGAAGACACAAGTTACCTCTTTCCAAAAAACTCGAGAAGTTCTTGGTCAATCGTTCAGGTGAAAGAACAGTTACTTGGTCAAGAAACTTGAAAAACTCGACCAAAAAACCAAAGCATACAGACTATACTGTGGGGTGCCTAAAGTAGGTAAATTCTTGGACAACAATCAGGTCCGATTCAAACAAATCATTAGTACGTGCCCAGTCTAATAAAATGATGACTTTCACATGCACGGATAAGGTAACACTTTAATATTGACTGTGAAACCAAGTTGAAGCTGGCAAGTTCAAGTTGTATATCTTCAGAAGTTCAGTAAGCAACACTACAGCATGATTGTATCAAGTTGAAATTACTTCTCTACCACAAGTTACATGCAGGTAGACAGACAGACAACTAATCTCTAAGATATATCAAGAAACATTTTAAAATGACACATGAAAGTTACCT